AAAAAAAAAAAAAAAAAAAAAATTGATATTGGAACTTGGAACACGTCCCTTCTCGCGTAAAAAGAAATGGAGAGTTCGTGAAGGAGGAGGAACGAAAATGGAGGTCAGTGGAAGTACACTCTGTACCGAGTGACCCACTGATACATTTTCATCGGCTTCGTGAGTGGGAAACGGCACACAAACGTGCGTTAATTTTATTTCACTTTACGTAAAGATCAGAATACCCGCTGCGGGACAGAATTTATTTTCCCTGGTGTTGCGAAGTTTAATTTACGTAATAGCGATTAATAGAGATGCGAGATCTGTAACGAGGTGTCGTGTTATACAACTCAAAGTGTCAGCTGCTGGGAGTAAAAAAAAAAAAAGAAGGCACAAAGTGCTCGTAATTTCTGAAAAATCCACTAACTTGAGGATCAGATTTGCTTGCGGGTTCTTTCTCTGGCTTCTCTAGATTGAAAACATTCCGCCGAAAGAGAAAGAGCAGTTATTCGACAAGATATCACGAAACACGATCCTCTCTCGGACGTGTTTGTCAATCGTGTAACATCGATCAGTTAATATCGGATAATCGAAATCCGTGTTTGTGATTTTAAATTGCGAACGATAAAAGGGCAATTTTTTTTTTCAATCTACGTTGACAGAGGGGAACTGAGAAATTTTAACGTCACTGTCTCTCGCCGAGTGTAATATGAGATTTGATTCAGGTTTGAAAGGCGTTTGAACGATCCTGCACGAGGTGGCTTTGAAAAATCGAGAGTACTTTCAGAAACACGTAGAACCGGTGAACGCAATGTGGAGCCGAGGGATAACCTGATAAATAAAACGAGATAACGTTGAACCGAAAGCCAAAGTGAAAGTTATTTTCCATGACACACAGGCTGCAATTTCATTCCGATCGGAGATTAACCATGCCGATTTTTGCATAAATTTCCATACAGTGTTTTTTTATTCTAAATAGGAAAATATTTCCAGGCGCATGGAATAAATATATCACGCGGCCATTATCAATTGCACAAACACGCGTGCGCGCACGTGCACGCAGATAAAATTGAATAAAACGATTACATTCACGGAATGAAATCCACCGGTGTCGGAAAAGCGATCGAATAGAGGGTAAACACGGTTGCAAACGATTCGACGAAATTGTTGGTGCACTTATCTATAAACATTTACCTACTGAATTTCTCGACTAATTGAGAGTGATCCAATTTGGATTCCCTCTAAATTGTAAATACCACTTGAAAGGCCAGAAAGATATCGCTGATCGAGAAAAGAAACTTACTTGATGATTATGTGCCTGCCAGTTTGGAGCAAAGATCAGTCGTATCGAATATTATTTGCTGGAAAATTGCTGCATGAAGATAATTTATATGTAATGACCTGATTACCATACATGTGACTCGTGTATTGCCACACATACATTACAGATTACTAATGTTACATTTAATTAAAAAAGAGAGAGAGAGAGAGAGATTTTGCTTCTTATAAAATCCGACAATGAGTTCTGCAAAAAGTATACCTTCCAAAGTTCAAAAGCTGGAAAAGTAGTAAAAATTTTATTCGAATTGACAAAGAGTGAACTTCGAATTTCCACCTCCTACCTGACACGGTATTTGCTTGAAAGCTTGCCAGTCCGGGCTTCCAATAATCCGACTGTCATTATCTACACTCTTGTGGTTGTCTCTA